TATGATGAAGCATTAACTGTGAATCCAAGTGGAGTGGAAATCATAAACTGTTTGGTAAGTATGTACAAGAGAATCAATCTATGGTTACATCCTTGCTATGGCACTTGGAATCCCAAGTGCCCAAAATTCAGGTCTTTTAATGTTGCAATTCTAGTGAGCTCCTTAAAATAGCAGGACCCATAATTTTCAGGACTGGTGTGCACATTTGAAATGTTGAGAACATGTTGTGGGCGCTATTTAGGCATTGTATCAAATAAACAGACATATTTGCCATAAAAATAAGAACTGAAGAATTCTTGGGCTCAATACTCTTCACTATCTTAATCAATAGTTTAGATGAGAGGATAAATGAGGAGCTCATCACATTTGCAGACAACACCAAGCTGCCAGGAATAGCCAATACTGCATAAAGATCTTGATAGCATTAGCAATAGCATTTATATACCGCTTCATAGTGCTTTACAGTTCCCTCTAAGCAGTTTACAGAATCAGCATATTGCCCCCAGCAATCCAGATCCTCATTTTACTGACCTTGGAAGGATGGAAGGCTGAGTCCACCTTGAGCCACTCTAAGTTGAACTCCTGGAGTGAGCAGTGAGTTAACCTGCAGTACTGCATTCTAACCACTGCGTCACCACGGCTCTTGAAGAGATATGAACATTGGGCCCTATCTAATAAAATGAAATTCAATGGTGAAAAAAGTAAGGTTCTACATTTAGGCAATTAATACTAAATGCACAGGTATAGTATAGGTGGTACCTGGTTCAATAGTAGTAATTGTGAGAGGGCTCTTGGAGTTCTAAGAGACAACTACTTAAATATAAGCCAGCAGTGTGCTAAAGCTGCCAAAAAAATGAACACAGTCCTAGGCTGCATTAACAGAGAGATCAAATCAAGATCATGTGAGATGTTAATATCACTTCAGTTTAATGAAAAGAAGGAATAGGGATGACATGATAGCAGTGTTCCAATATCTAAAGGGATGCTATAAAGAAGAGGGGGGGGGGTCAACCTATTCTCCAAAGTCACCTAAAGGCAAGACAAGAACCAATGGATGGAAATTAAACAAAGAGAAAAGCAACCTAGAACTAAGGAAGAAATTTCCTTACAGTTAGAACAATTAATCAGTGGCATAACTTGTTACAGAAGTTGTGAATGCTCCAATAGTGGAAGTTTTTAAGAAGCGATTGGACAACTATTTATCTGAAATGGTGTAGGGCTTCCTGCCTGAGCAGGGGATTGAACTAGAAGACCTCCAACGTCCCTTTCAACTCTGTTATTCTGTTATACTTTGGCATGAGGTGATTGGTCCATTCTAAGCCAATATTATTTGCACTGATTTAATAGCTGCTTTCCTGAGATTCAGGCAGGACTTTTTCACTCTTTCTTTGAAGGTGAATGAATTAAGCGTAGGACTTTCTGCCTGTACCTCAGCTGCTCTGCTGCAGTTCTCATATGTGACCCTTCTTTGCTAATTTCCTTCAAAATCTAAACTACTTAACTATTACCACTTCCTGTGGAAGCAAATGTCCTGTGATGTATGATGTCAAATTTTGCTTAACAAACAAATATGCATTTCATATATGTTGCCTGGAGCCTTCTGTTCCAAAATTAGCCAGTAAATTATTTCAGCTCCATTTATTCTGCACCAAGAATTTTTATTGTTTATTTGGGTTGTTGTTGTTTTTGTTTGTTGTTACTGCTGATGTTTTTTCTTGTTAAATGGATTTTATTTCCCACATTTCTTTGTTTCTTAGCAGCAGTCATTTGTTTGTGTTTTGGGTGTCTGTATGTGTGATTTTTTTTTCTTCTATTGAAAGACAGAGATAGTAACAATTATCTTTATAGGACCATTGAATCTCTGCTATTGGATTTGAAGTGCTTGGTGCCACTTAAAAAAACAGTCCAGTCTACAAGCCAAATTCCTCTTGTAAGCAGGACTCTGTCCCTGATATATCAGAATTAATTAATGCAGAATTCCTCCGTTTGCCCTTAGGCTGTTAGAAAATATGATTTGAAAACACCAGGGCTCATTTTAAGCAAAGGGCATAAAACCAGTGGCCAGCGAAGTGGTCAATATATTGATTCTTGCAAGCAGATATAAAGTTATAAGCACACGTTCTCGAAAGGCATTTATAACTTTGTTTCTGGGGATGGGTGTTCAAAGATAATAGTTATTAAATTATTAAAATGTAATGTTATGCCATGATAAATTGGTAGTCAAATATTGGAGGATTATTTCCTAAAATGCAATTCCTCTATTGTTTGGCATCTGCATTTTCCCCTGTTAAGAATACTGTTTTTGCAGCTGTAGGACTTGGTCCATCATATGTCAATATCTTCCATTGTATAACAACCCATTTACACAGCAAATTAACTATAACCACGGTATATATTTGATAACCTTTATCTAAATTTGGAGAGAAAGAAGTACCTGTGTTTCCCCAAAATAAGACTGGTCTTATTTTCTTTTGGGCCCCAAAATAAGCACTAGGGCTTATTTTTTTTCATGTATGGAAGGCCCACTTTTTTGCTTGCTCACGGCAGGGCAGGAGCCCACGCAGTACAGCAGTGCCGCTGCCATGAGGTGGGGTGCTAGAGCTGCCACTTGTGCCCTGCACCAGCTTACTTCAGGGCCCTGCAGCCAGGCCACCTATGCCCCGACACCTGCATTGCCTCACGAGGCGGTGGCTCCAGCAGCCCCATCCAACAGGACCCCATGTGGCCACCAGCCCACTTCTTCTACTTGCTTGTAGCCACAATGGAGCAGGAGGCCAAGTAACATGCCAGTGCCACAGCCATGAGGCAAGGTGTGGTGGGTGGAGCTGCCCCATGCACCCTGCACCAGGTTACCTTGGGGTCCTGCAGCCATGCCATCCATTCACTGACATCTGCCTTGGCTCATGGCCATAGTACCAACACACCACTCAACTTCCTGCTCCATTGTGACTGCAAGCAATAAGAAGTGGACCGGTGTTCATGTGAGATCCTGCGTAAGGGTGCTGGTGCTGCCGCCACAAGGCAGCTATCAGGGTGTGGATGGCCTGGCTGTGGAGGCCCTGAGGTAACTTGGTGCAGGGTGCATGGATCAGCTCCTCCACCACTCCACATCGTCTTGTGGCTGCGGCACCGTGAGCAACCAGACAGAATGGGTGGGTGGGTGGGATGCCAGCTACACAGGCTCTTATGGCTTATTTGGGGGTAGGGCTTATATTAGGTGCATGTGTAAAAACATGTTAGGTCTTATTTTTGGGATAGCTCTTATTTTCAGGGAAACAGGGTACAGAGGGAAAACTGAGGGCAGTGCCATTTCTCTTTTTGATTCTTTATCAGCATTCTATAGTTTAATGAACTACAGATATGATGAACAGATATCCATCATCTCCCTCCAGCAAGGTCATCTGGTGTACATCAGGTTAGAAAAGGCTGTTGTATATGGACAATTGCTAAAACTAATCTAGTTATGAAGGATAACATCTGATATATTGTAAAACACCTTTAGTTTCCATGTCTTCCCAATGCACTTTGTAAATATATTTTCACCCTATTGTTTTAAAGCATGGTGGTGAATTGTGGTTTCCAATAAAGATCAATGGAAAACAAAGTTAACATGCGGAAGATAAATTCTAAGAATGTAACTGTGAAATTGTATTCTAAGACATTTGGAAATTAAAAAGGACTCTAGACCCTTTATGGTAATGCTATTGGCTGCCAAATCTTAACCAGATGTAAATTTTAAAATGCCATTAGCAATTATGAATAATCAGCATGGTTCTAATTCCCTGCACACTTTGAAGAAGGCATTCCTACAGTAAAGTAGCAAAGAAAAGTTGACTAGCTAATATAGGCACATTTAGATTGCAATGTTTGAAGGAACAGCTTGCAAAGCCTTGGTAAGTGTCGGGCACAAAGAAATATGAGTTGAACCAAGTTACTTCTTTATTGTTGCAATGACATTTAAAAGAATCTTGCCAAAATAACTGCATTCTCTTGGGAATTATCAGATAGGACAGGGGTGTCAAATTTGCATCGTCACAGTGGTGTCATATGACATATCAGGACTTTTTCCCCCCTCACTAAACCAGGTGAGGGTGGGGCCAGCATGTGACGCACCCCGGAGATAGGGCTTCAGGGCCTTTAGCAGAAATAAGGCTCTGTCCCGCTTTCTGTTGGGTAAGAACTTTAAGCTCAGCCCCCCCTCTTCACATCTCACTCCACTTTAGCTGGAGACTCCATCACAGAAATCTCTGTTTCATTTGCAATTTCTTTCCTTAATTTATGATAAAATACAAATCATGATCAACAGACACAACTTTCCAAAGTCATTGAAAAATGTTGCTGATATCAAACACTTATTAAAGGAATCTACCAATTGTATGCTGCCTCAAATAGTGGTGGGATCAGGAATGTTTTACTGAAAATGTTGTCCAATCTCTAAACAATAGTAGAATGATTACTGTACTTGGGCCATAAAATTATTCACAAATTCAACAATCAATAGCAACTTCACTACAATAATGGCACTTACTTAATATCAACTGATCCATTTAAGGAGCACATACAGTAAGTAGATATTAAAATGAAATTTCCTGAATTGCCATCTTGCTTGGATATATTCTTTATTCTGATGAAGTATTAGCACTTCAACTTATCAATAAGCCCCTGCACTCTTGGCAGTGATCAACAGAAAATTCCTGTTCAACCTATTTATGAGGCTTTAGGGTGAGAAAGAATAAATGCAGTAACTGTTTTTAATGCTTTTAGAGGCTGTGGGTACCACCTGTGGTTTTGTTGATAAAATCAAGCTTTCATGTTGTAATATTTTCAAGCAATTAAATGAAAGCATTTTAGAAGCTTTTGCTGACTTTGAACTGGATGTAACACCATCAGATGCTTAGAACTACTGCATTAAAACATTCTTTTTTAAGCTGCTTATGGCAGCTTTACAAAAACGAATGCTGGAGAAATCAGATGAGCTTCAGTCAGAAAGAGATGTGTCAGTTCATCCTGCTTTTTGAGTTGCCATTCTATGGACACATCACCAGTTTATGGGA